AGATATAAACAACAGTGAAACTGTTGTTGCTATTATTGTTTTTGTTATTTAATTATGATCTTGCTTCTTACTGTTATTTGCTATCGCAATTCAAGCACATTAATATGAATTACAAAAGTTTAGACTCAGAAGAAATAACAAAAGAATATTCAATTTTCATGGCCTAGACTATTATCCCCAACGACTTGTAATAAACATCGAGGGAAGAAATTCCATTGTTTTATGCTGATGCCGAGGCCGCGCTCATACCACATACTGTTTTAACAAGCAAGCCGTGGTAGACAGAGACGCCCATAAATAGTGAAAATGAGAAAGCTTCCACATGGTAACACATTACACAGAACGGTCTTGCACGACGCTCTTCCGCGACACTAACAAAACGTGTTTGTGCGTTGTCATCCCTCATGGCGCTCTAATATCAGCGGCGCGCCATGCCTGGTCATGTCAGTCGGGCTTTAGGCACGGGGAGCATGAGCTGGTTGGTTTGTTTGTGAATGAAAAGTGCGAGTCTGTTGGAGCAATGCCAAAGGGGACATGATGTGAAGATATATCTGAGGTTAATGAGGAGTATGTCTGGACTGACTGCAGTAGCCGACACGGGGACTTTCGGAAAACCCGGAGATAGTTTAGTAGGAGCCTTATTTTAGAAGCTGGAAAAAAGCAAATCACTCTTATTGCATAGGGAAAGCTACATGTCGAGGGAGCAATAGTATGCAAATAGATGGCATGAGCGATCGATTACATGCTGACCTTGACTACCAATAGCCTCAGCTGTAATAATCAACAGGCCTTGCCAAATGCAATGTGATGGCTTTATATCACGCGTTTTTGCTCCCCCCACACACATACATACATATTTACATACATATATATACATGGCCTAGACTATTATCCCCAACGACTTGTAATAAACATCGAGGGAAGAAATTCCATTGTTTTATGCTGATGCCGAGGCCGCGCTCATACCACATACTGTTTTAACAAGCAAGCCGTGGTAGACAGAGACGCCCATAAATAGTGAAAATGAGAAAGCTTCCACATGGTAACACATTACACAGAACGGTCTTGCACGACGCTCTTCCGCGACACTAACAAAACGTGTTTGTGCGTTGTCATCCCTCATGGCGCTCTAATATCAGCGGCGCGCCATGCCTGGTCATGTCAGTCGGGCTTTAGGCACGGGGAGCATGAGCTGGTTGGTTTGTTTGTGAATGAAAAGTGCGAGTCTGTTGGAGCAATGCCAAAGGGGACATGATGTGAAGATATATCTGAGGTTAATGAGGAGTATGTCTGGACTGACTGCAGTAGCCGACACGGGGACTTTCGGAAAACCCGGAGATAGTTTAGTAGGAGCCTTATTTTAGAAGCTGGAAAAAAGCAAATCACTCTTATTGCATAGGGAAAGCTACATGTCGAGGGAGCAATAGTATGCAAATAGATGGCATGAGCGATCGATTACATGCTGACCTTGACTACCAATAGCCTCAGCTGTATTAATCAACAGGCCTTGCCAAATGCAATGTGATGGCTTTATATCACGCGTTTTTGCTCCCCCCACACACATACATACATATTTACATACATATATATATATATATATATATATATATATATATATATATATATATATATGTGTATATATATACATATATGTATATATATATATTTAGAGAGAGAGAGAGAGAGAGAGAGAGAGAGAGAAAGAGTGAGAAAGAGAGAGGGGGGGGAGAGAGGGAGAGAGAGAGAGAGAGAGAGGGAGAGAGAGAGAGACAGAGAGAGACAGAGAGAGAGAGAGAGAGAGAGAGAGAGAGAGAGAGAGAGAGAAAGAAAGAAACACAGACATACAGAGTGAAAAAGCTAGACAATGACATATATTAATTTGTTTGATGGATGTGCGTGTATGGGAGCTCTTACATAACATATTGACACACACACACACAAATATATATATATATATATATATATATATATATATATATATATATATATATATATATATGTATATATATATATATATATATATATATATATATATGTATATATATATATATATATATATATATATATATATATATATATATACATATATATATATATATATATATGTGTGTGTGTGTGTGTGTGTGTGTGTGTGTGTGTGTGTGCGTGTGTGTGTGCGTGTGTGTGTGTATACATAAATACATACATACATACATACGCACATCCCGGACCATGCACTTGGATGGTAATTTTATAAACAAGAGCTCCCACTACACTCCACCTACAGCCTGGAGCACTAACCCAAAATGGAAATGGCCGAAATGACGCCGCCCGTCAGAGAAAAGGCCACGGGCGCGAGGGACATGTCTCGGCCCCCCAGCAGGAAGGCCTGGGTGGAGGACGCCCCTTTGCCCCTGAGGGAGCTGTACACGCCGATGCCCACAGACACCACCAGCATTAGGGAGAACACCACGTAGTCCACTGCGGTGAACTTCGGAGCTTCTGATGCCTCGACGTCCATTTTCTGAAGGAAATGTTTATAGAAAGGTTCCAGTGCAGTGAAATTATCCAGTAATAACAGATATAACAAAAATTTTTATAATGATTTAGACATAATTAATGATAATGCGAAACACCATCATCGCATACAAACATTACGGATAGCAATGTGTTATTAAAAAAAAAACAGCATTACAGATACTGATATCCTCCCCTACGCAGTAACTATCATCATAGTATGGTAGTACAAAACAAGAGAGCTTCTGGAGATGACAGCTTTAACACTAATATTAATGATATTATTATTAATAGTATTTTAAACAGTTGCGTAGCGACGTAAATTACAATGGGCCTTCTTGCAACAGTCATCTCAGGATATTGAAAAGGCCTAAGATGCTTTTTTTTATATTTCTATGATAAATGTCTAAGACTATGAAACACTGCCTAACGCCCTTCGAAATACACGCGGCAACCACATCCCCAGACTCACTTCAGTTTTCAGTGAGCTTATAACAAGGCTGTTTGTATTATATAAAGCTCCTTATGAATCGACCTACGTCAGCCTATGGGGTCGCCGAAGATAAATACAAATGATCACTTAAGCTCCAACCTATACAATGACTGTGATAGCCTAATAAATCCAAATCTCTGATTTATTATATGCACCAAAACAAATGTTTTACTTTTCTTAAACTACTCATATACTGTGAGCCCTTAGTATCATAAATAACATCAGTTACAATAACAGTGATAATATAACACCATTATTGTTATTGACCTCGATTTTGTTGTAAATATCAGTTTAGATGTATCATGAATTCTTACACTCGCATAATATGTAATGCGTCAAGGTTAGGTCTTTTGCTTACTGTATCATGTTATTTTTTTACGTCAGTTACGGAACTACATTGTTAAAAAACACGTCTTTTTACTCTCCTTTTTAAAGCCCTGGACACGGCTCTGCCACACAACTAACTTTCTAGTTGCCACTTCTAGTGCTCCGACTGCAACCATTTCAACTTTGCTAATTGTTGCTAATTCTTATTTGAGGTTATCATAAGCTTTAACCTTTTTCTGCTCTTTATTTCACCATTTTCGTTTCTCTAGGAATACATTTATCTATTATCGAAAAAAAACTTCCTTTACGACAGCAAAGGCCGGTTTTCTCCCTTTAGCACTTTAGCGACTCATAATAACCTCGCTTCGCCCTCGCGTCTTTTCTGGCCGTCACCTCGAGCTTTTTTTGGTAATCTGAAATTAGAGGACTAATTCTCTCCTCCCCTCTCTACGGTCTACAAAGTCAATGGCCTTGTCGATGTTGAATTTATTAAGTCTATTCATAAAGCCTGTTCGTGAGCGGACAATAATTAGCCACCCGTGGATAGCAAGTTCCAGGGTTTTTTTATTTACTACTTTTTAAAAGTAAAAGTTTAAGAGATCATTCCTATAAATGATGAAGATGAATGATTCCAATAACATAATTGATTGGCGTCTTATTATTCATAACGGGTAGGATAAAATACATAGCTGCGGCCAAAAATATCACTTAAGACAGAAAAAAAGTACACAAAGAACAAAGAGAAAAAAAAAACACTCTTGTAAAATCAAATAGATATAAACGATATACCTACCACATGTGATGTTCCAAAATAGGGTAGTTGTAAGCACTCCCAACCCCTGAGAGCGACTGGTCACTCGCAGGGGGAGGCCATGAGTCCTGCTGTCATCCTGCGTGGCGCTGATTGGACAGGGAGCTGCTTCAACATCAATTCACGGTGACGGGATGGTCGAGGCTGAGAGATAAAATTGTGTTCGGGAAATATCAGACAATATTTGAAGCATTTCTTTTACCAACTGAAAAAAAGTTTGACCTGTTGCAAAACAGGTCGAGTGGAATTTGATATGTATCCATCCTCCCATTCTTGTACATCATTATTTCCTTTTTATGACACAATTAGGTGATTCGCCTGATTGGTTAAGTCTTTGGTTTTTGATTGTATAACAGCGTTAAAATGAGACCCTTATTCTATACTTCCATACGCTAAGCATTCACACATGATCTTGCAGCCTTCTGCAAAGCATGTGAAACACACGATAACCATTGCCGACGCACAGTAACACTGATGTGGATGGGGCCGAAATCAGAAGTACTATATATTTACTGTGTATTCGATGGAAACGGAAGTAGGGATGCTTCAAGCACAAAATGGCATTTTGACACTCAAAATCTAGAATTTTTCTCAGATGTTTATCTCCGACTTTTTTTTATACACTCGCTAAAACTAGAGCCACGATTTTTTATAGAGCCTTATTTATCCTAAATACTTCAGCACTTCAACAGAATTTTATTTTGATGTTATTTGGTTTTAAATAAAAGAGGAGACTCATTGTAAGAGAGGGCTGGCAGGTGAGACAGATTTATTATACAGGCGTTTTCTTTTTATACAATCTATTGTAAAATCATGAAATATTTTAGCATTAATTCTCCGAAGTCAGTACCAACAGCTTGTAATTTTGTGATT